TCAGTTATTGTTGATGATATGACCTTATATGTTTTAAGTAACTGTTTTGAAGTGAAAGGAAAATAATTTTCCTAAAGTTTAAGCATGAGTGACATTTTATGAACTTTAATAATGGCTATTTGTGGAGTCTATATTTCAGGAGGGGCCAATAATGTGTGTTGTATGACTTCAAGGAGAGAGTGAAATATCTGTGTGATGGGAAATGATCAAAGTGATGATGAGTCAATGAAGTCCAAATTTTAAGGAAGTCCAAAGTTAAAGGAATTACAAATTAATAGAATGGTCAACCAAGTAAGTTGTGTGGCGTAGTTGGTCTTGGTTGAATTCTTGAGTGTTCTCAAAAACCACTGACATTTTTCGTGATGGGGCATCGTTTGGCACTATAGTTGTTGTTGATTGGAGGTTAGGTTGCAGTTTGGTTTGGGGAGTTGAATTTTCAAATGAATAGTTCATTGGACTTGAGTGGGATTGAAGCACACTTGAATAAAGTTGGGTTTGGTGTTGACGCAGCATTTTCTTGGATGGTTCTTGATGACTTTTGGTGGCGGCGTCGTAGTGAGGTTAGGGCCTGGGCAGCCCCAACATTTTGGTTCCTTGTGGAGTAGCCACGTCGTTTCCTCTTGAAGTAAATCACTTCACTGATGGGGCACTGTTAGTTTTACTCACTTTTCGTAGATTGTACTGGTTTTGAACCTGATTTCACTAGTTTTTTGTAATAATACTGGGTGGTCCACTAGGGGTGCGCTTTCGCGGGCTTTCTCGAGAGAGAGAGAGAGAGAGAGCAGCGTCATTATTATTTCTCCGTAACGTGCGGTACGTCAAAAAGCAACACAGCTGGCGGCTCGACAACAATCTAGCACACCACCACCACGACTATGGCCACAGCCAGCACCACTACCACAACTACCAAGCTACCACAAGCTCAGCACGAGCCTGCAATCAGAAGTACGCGGAAGCTGGGGGTCCCGCGCCGCCCCACCCGGCACTCGGAAGCAATATCAGCCCGGGAAAAGAGTGACTTTGAAGAGGGCGCGTCTCGCCTGCTGGGGGCACACACGGAGAGAAAACGGGGAGAGGGAGAGAGAGAGGAAGAGAGAGAAACAGACATAGACAGACATAGAGAAAGAGGACGGCGTGGCGAAGAGCTACCATGGCTGAGCAATCACTGGTCAGCCACAGGCAACAGAGTGTATTAAGGGGAGGCTACCCAGCAAACGTCGTGCTTTTTCATTAAACCAAATCCTGTTGGTGTGAGCAGTTTATCATACATGTAAAGGAGTATTAGTCTCACACTAAGCAATAGCAATATGTATCTGAATGTGCGTAAGTGCGTGTGTCGGGTATTCCCCCAGCATCTATCTATGTATCTGGAGCGTCGTTCTCGGCTGTTCTGTAGGCTGACGTCACTCTTTGTCTGGAAGCTGCCCTGTGCGGTTGTGTTGTATTGAACCTTTCGTGAATACAGAGATTTGAGTTTCACCGAAGTCTGTGTCTCAATTATCCAACCAATGCCCATATTACAACAAATCCGAGCACACTTCACCCTCGCCCATTTCGCTGTTCATGAACATGCGCAAATATTAACAGCTACAAGTATGCACATTCCTTATTATGCATTGTTTCGTACAATGTACATGAACATTATGCAAAGTCCTTATGCATAGTTATTTACCGGTTGATTCGGAGAAGACGCAGGTGCCAACCCGAGGAGATACCTTACGTACAGATTGGCTATCCTTGCACAACAAAATGAATACGGGGTCATAGTGTTTGCAACTGGTAAGCAGTAGTGAGCGACTCGACGTTTTGAGTGTGAGAGGGTGGGGGCAGGGGGTTGCAGTCGCTACTGGCACTTGACGAACAATACAGTATAGCGCGGTGTTCCCGGCCTCGGTCTCGGTCCGAGCGCTCGTATCAGCGCCCGCAGCATTCCCCCGGTGCGCTGGACTTGGGCGCGCTATGCAGTTGGATGAGATGCAATACCGGATGCACGCAAACAACCGAGTCACGTGGAGTGGTGTTCGTTTGGCTTACTCGGCCACAAAGTTCCACAACGAGCTCGATACTATCCCTAACACTAAATCCTTATGCATCGTGTTGTTGTACCTACTATGGAAACCCAAGTGTGTACTTGAATGCAGTACCTCCTGCATACCTACATGTATGCAGGGGGTCATGTGTACTTGGCAAGTATGCAGGAGATAGTGTGTGGAGGTTTTAGTGTTGACCAAGTACACACTACCTCCTGCATACTTTGCCAAGTACACAGGACCTCCTGCATACATATAGGTATGCAGAAAATAGTGCACTCATAAGTACACACACTTACGGGTTTCCAGAGTAAACATGCAGATTGTCACGGCTGTATACACAATTCTCCATGTGTATGCACGGTAAAATGTACGAGGGTTTAGTGCGCATCGCAATAACAACTCGTTAGTGCATGCGGCTTGTACGCATCGTGTCCGCCCCGGTTGGTGCAGCGAGCGGTCGCCACGCGCGCGCCACTCGGCGAGGGCGGGATGACGTTTTCCTCTTGGCGCAGATGGATAATTTCCGGCACTCCATTTTTGTTCTGCAGGGCGAGCAGCAGCAGCAGCGGCGGCGGCGCAGCGATACAGGCCACTTGGCATCCGCACCAGGCCGTACTTTGTTGTCTTTCAGACCGGGGCTCCCCGGGCTCCCCCCTATTGTCTGCTGCAAAAGACTAATTTCTTTGCCCTCGGGCCGAATGCTACCCCTACCCTACCACCACTCCCTTTACCAGCGTGGCCTCACATTGCGTCGGGAAAATGGAATGAGAGATGGGAGAGGGGGGGGGGGGGGAGTTGGCAAAGGGCTTTACATCAACAGGCAGGCAGTAGTGGTGGTGGTGGTGGTGCTCGACCCGGGCAATACCGTGCTCTTTATGGCGCCAGAGAGGCAGAGCGGGAAGGGGGAAAAATCGTCATCAGTCGGAACAGAACGATGCTGACGCCGCGGCACCAGAGCGGCACTCGTACTGGCCAGCAAGGAGTAACTCACTGCGACACACTGTAAAAAACAAAACGTTGTAGGAAAACGTAACAATTTTATGATGACACAGTCGATGTGGGTGACAAACAAGAAGTCGTTTGTGCAGAAAGACAGTAAAGTGTTGTGCAGTAAAAGTAAGAAACCAGAAATAAGTGAAAAAGTGAACATCAAATTTTGTTGAACAACACATTTGTTTTACGTCCTCAACAAAACTTGAACCACAAGGAAGTATTGTCAGTTAAGAAGAATAAGACATTCTCACACGGACTTCTGAGTGCATAACTAAGCCCAGGTACAATAACATAACTGACAATACACATTTGGTGAGAAGCTAAAATCTGGTGCATGAGCTCGATTGTGCACACAAAGGTCCGGCGCTAGTCATAATGTCACAATGATTGTCCTTGGACGTTTAGAGTGCCACGTTTTCGCTCGTCACGACAATTTGCTCAAGGCTCCCCTTGTGTGTGCGCAGCTGGGCCTGCGGTGCCTTTAAAGGCACACGGGACCCCGCGGGGCCCCACAGTGTCAGGGATGAAGCTCACGCTTACACTTGTGATCGGCCTACTGGCCCTCGGGGTGAGTCCATGAGCAGCGCGGCGGACCTTGTCCAAAGCAATAGTCGCGCGTGAGAGTATTTGTAAAAAAGTTTTCTTGAAAGCTTTCTGTGAAGATTTTTAAAAAGTTTTTTGGGGCGGTTTACAAAAACGTTTTTGTGAAGATTTTTAAAAAGTTTTTAAA